ACTAACTCCTATAAGTCCTGACAAGTTTGTGTATTTAAATTCTATTTGACCTGGACCAGCAGTCATTCTTCAGTAACAGGTTCCTGAGAAGGAGAATGAGGGGATGAAAAATAAAGAAGACCGGAAAATTGAGGTTTGGGGGTCTTACACAAATTATGTTTTATGCCAAACACATTTTTTTTTCCTAGACCTAAAATTTTTTAAGTAAAACATCAGTCTTAAAAACCTTCATACTGTCAGTAATAAATGTGTAAACAAATAAAGAATAATACAAAATAATTATTCTTAGTACAGTACACTGCAATTTTAAATCTTAGATATTGTGAGTTTTGTCTTTTGTTTATTGACAAAAGCATATGAAGAATACCTTGAACGGTGATTGACTTCTTATGTAATCTCTCTGTAAGTGAAAGACTCCTGTGGGCGTCTTCCTTCGGGAGAGACCCCGTGCCCAAAGATCAGTCGAAAACACGCAGCCGGATGCAAACAGCAAGAGGTTTATTCGAATACACAGGTACCTGGGGCGACAAAGTCACTCGGAGGACTTGCGCCCCGTCTGGCTGGAGCGAGGGGTTTTTATAGGAGAGCAAAAGCGAGGTTTACAGAAGCAAAATGTGGGGTGGTAAATTCTTAACCTAAATAACAATGAGGGGACTACTCAGCGTTTTACTGTTCCCCTTATCCTGTCCCCCTTCCTTGGCTGACGACCAGATTTCTGATTGCACAGGCCCTGACTCGTGACGAGCCCCGCTTTATACGTGACTCAGGCCTCGCAATCCTCTCTTCATCCCTTGAAGTCTTTGTTCCTACTCAGGCCAGTCCATAAATCCCCTGTCCTGCAGCCAGGTAAGGCTGTCCTTGCTCTAACCTCAGGTATCTTTGTTCAGCATTCCGGAGGCCCTGAACTGAGCTTGTTATCTGTTCAGCATTCCGGAGGCCCTGAACTGAGCTTGTTATCTGTGAATCCTTTGCAAAAACGGTATAACTGTGGCTAAAACGAGTTGGGGTCCTTCATAAGGTAGGCATCTTCTGTGTTGTTAATCATCCTCTGTTTTGGATCAACAGCCAACACTTGATCCCTTGTATATGCTTTTGGTGCTGGGAGATCTCTCCAATAGTTTCTTTAATGTGAAGGTTTAAATGGTGCCATCTTTCTGTTGCTACTGCTACTTTCCTCATTAAATTATCTGGCTGTACCAAGCATGTTTACTAAGAACAGCATCTTATATATGATTTGCAGGGAGAAATGGGAGAGAATCAGGAGAAAGCTATCATATAATAGGACAAAGTCAGCTGGACAAAATCCAGCATTGATGTACAGAGAGACACAGGATAGCTCAAATGATCACAGACTGAACACTCAGCATCCGTGAGACTGATAACTCCAGTCTTCTTCAGGGGGATAAGCTAAATTCTTAGAAACTGAAACCTGAAGTCCTTTGAGGCCCTTGGCCTTCTGCCAAGTCTGCCCCTGGGCAAGGACACAGAACTAGTTCCCTTTGTCCTTTCAGCAGGGATTCTGGGAAAGCACACAGCACAGGCCTCTAAGGTGGACAAATATTGTGACGAGGGTGACTTATATTTTAGAATTAGTTGGCAATTGAGTGGTTTCCATTCCTTCTAGGCCAGCAAACTTAATGTGAACAGAATTGTTGGCCAATAGGACTCCCAGGAACTCCCATTGGGTGCTAGATGTGAGAAGATGTCCTCGAGTAACTGGTATTTTTTTCTGTTGTTCCTCTATCCCAGGACAGGCCAGTTAAATTAAGAGGTAAGGTATTTTGGCAAAATGTGACGACTCAGCTAGTCCAGTATGATGGACAGCTCTGTCACAGCTGTGTTTTAAGTAAGAATGGCACCCGTAGGCTCCTGTTTGAATGCTTAGTCACCAGGGAGTGGCACTGTTTGAAGAGGTGTGGCAGTGTTGGAAGGGGGTGTGTCTCTGGAGGGGAGGGGCTTTGAGGTTTCAAAAGCCCAGGCCCAGCCAGTCTCTTGTGCTGTTCCCCACCCCCACCTCTCCTCTCTACTTCTCCTTCTTGTGAATCAGGGTGTAGCTCTCACTTTCTGTTTTAGGGCCATACTTGCCACCATATTCCCTGTCATGACAATATATAGGGACCTTCTGAAACTGTAATCAAGCCTCAAACACGTTCTTTTGTAAATTTCTTTGGTCATGATGTCCTGCACAGCAAAATAGTAAGACAGTCATAAAATTTGTCCTGCTGAGAAGCTGCTTTAGGTTTAGGGCAGTTTACATGAGGTGGTGGGTGCTCCCTCACCGGGTATCTTCACTTACAGGTGTGGATGCCCATCTGATCCTTATTACCTAGTCATGGGGTAGCTTAGGTTTTTATTTATCTTTCCTTTCCCTTTTCTTCAATGCCCTCTCCTACCTTCCTGTGCTCCTCTGCCTCTTTCTCACTGTGTAGATTTACTGGCCTGGAAGTTACTACATAGCTGAGGCTGATCTCGAACTTGTGAAGCTCCTGCCTCAGCCTTTCAAGTGCTGAGATTACAGATGGGAAGTACTGCTGTCTCTCACTTAGTTCTGCATATTGTCTTAAAGCGTCTTCTTTAACCTGTATTTATATTGTTTATGTAGGGGTGAGGTATGTGAATACCTGAAGTGAGCATTTACAGGTCAGAGGACAATTTGCTAGTTTTTTTTTTTTTTTTTTTTTAAATCTCCTACCATGTGAGTCCTTTGGATTGAACTCAGTGTCATCCTTCTTGGTGGACAACAAGCTCCTTTGCCTCCTGAGACATTTTGCTGGCTCAGTTCTACAAATCTTAAAAAGTGAAAAATGGAAATCCTGGGGGCTAACCCTGTCATTCATTAGCTGCTCAAGTTCTTGACGATTGCCAAATCCTTGGTAACCTAGTAATGAATGAATAGGAATAATCGACTTTGCTTTATTAGTCATGGTTTCCCATGGTCTCCTTGTGCCAAGAAAGCAGAAGTACCCTGTCTTATGACTTCTGAGTTACAGTTGTGACTCGGGACAGATGGCTGAGTCTGTCATACCCTGTTACTGTGCTCACAAGGTGGACTCCAGCTGATGGAACTACTAGAGATTCTTTAAGTCCCTTTGCATCATTAATTCCAGCCTTCATTTTGTAAGATTGAGGCTTCCAGCCTCACAAAACTTTTTTTTTTTTTAAACACTAAAGTTCTTGTAACTGAACAGGATCTGAATAACCAGGACCCTGGAGTGTGGGCTGTAGTGACCTATAAATAACAGGAAAAACAATCCGCCAGATGTCTCTTTGAACCCATTTGTGTCTATTGAATAGGAATTGTTCAGTTCTGCATAAGGAGTTCTGTCTACCAAGAGGCACAATCAGCTGTTCCTTGTAAGGAGTGATGCTTGACATTTATGTATGTTCTAACTTAGTTTGTATTCCAACAGAGTCAGTCAACTATCTCTCTGCCTGTATCTGTCTCTCTATTTTTGACAAATGATAGTTCAGGGCGGACTTGAAGTAATTCTCCTGCCTCTTGTTTCCCAAGTGCTAGGGTTATATGTGCTAGGTCTGACAGGAGTGTTGTCTCTGAAGGCTTATACTTCCCCACCATACAGTAACCTACTATGTATACTTAGAGGTAGTTAAGACTATATAGGTAACTATATAGCTTGGCTGGGCGATGTTGGCGCACACCTTTATTCCCTGTTGGGGACCCTTCCCCACCTTCCTCAGCTATAGATGACCCCGGGTAGTGCCGCAGACATCAGGACACGGGATGCAGAGTAGGAGTCACAACTGCATACTTTATTGCAAAGCCAATGCTCTTTTATAATTGAATCACAATTCAAACTGGGTTCCCATAATACTTGAAAAGAGTTACATAAACTAATAACTTTGTTGCAAATAATTTCAAGAGCTTCCTGCTCTAGTTAATCTAAACAGAAAGCCTGGTGTTATGGGAATAACTTTTGCTGTTACAGAATATGTAAAAACACCTCATCAGAAGACAAACCACAACCTCATCAGAGCCTTTGAACTACAGTGCACATCTGTGTTCTCAGTAACTATTTTCAAGGCACTCTACTGATGGGAGAGGTTTGCCAAGCCTGTCAGCAAGAATGATACCTCAGGTCACCCCTGCACAGAGTTCTGTGCTGTATAAAAGGTAGCCCTTTACATCTTCTTCCTTTTTATAATGAGTTTGTTAATCCACATATTTAACAGCAATTCTTTCATGCTCGACTGTTAATGAGCAGTAAATAAAACAGTAGCATAAACAAACCCATAACAATAGCTACTATCCCCATACTGCCAGTGGTATGGGACAAACTTTGTATCCAAGCCTTAGGGTCTAACCCCTCTAATTTTTCAGCAATCTGTTGAGCAATGTCAGCATCTGTCATCTCTGGAAACCTGTGCAAATGTAGATTCAATATTAAAATGCAGTTTTTAAATTTCCTGTCTTATAGATTCGTTGCCCAAAAAATAATTTCTCATTTTCTCTGAGGCTAATACATATTCATTAAAAGCTAAATCAGTAACACAAAAAGTAGTGGAATTCCAATCACAGCATAATCTTTGTTCATTTTCTAACATCATCACCTTTTCTCCAGGATACCGTCTGCTTTGAGTCATTAACTTCATTCTGTAATCTGGCATCAATTCCAGCTTGCTGGGACCAAAGTTCATGAGAATCTTTATGCCAAGCCTAAACATAATGTTTAGTCTGCAATGAATTGTGCAAGGCTATTCCAGATACCGTGGCTAGTGTCACAACTGAAATTAGACTTAATAATACAGAAACAACTGTTCCAATAAATCGTTTACTTCGAGCAAGCAACTTCTTAAAAAATTCCACTGTTTAACTTTACAGGTAACCAGATGTAGGGTTGCTGTTTCACAATCTTGATGGACTAACCATTTAAAAGAATAGAATTATTTAAGCAGTGTATAAGGTACAATTGACACAAGAAATATTTCCAGAAAAACCAAAATTCCATTTAACAGTAAATAAGGCAAAGGAACACACTCTGTAACAGTTCAGCTTTTATGCATAGTGAAATTATACACAGAATCACTGGGAACAGTTTCGGAAAATGATACGTTATAGAAGTACAGTCTTTAAGGCAGCAGCCAGCTTCCAAATATGCATCTGAATGGCATTGGGAAACTGTAGAGTCCATGGTCCACTTACCCCTCCATTTCCCCAGGCCATAAGCCGAGGACTGTTAAATGTCTCGTTCTTCGTAGCTTGAGCCATTCTAGTGACATTAAACAGATCACAGACAGTACTTTTCCATTCAGAACATGTATTAATAAACATCCCATATGGGCCCCAGTTTATCCAAGTGTTATTAATATTTTTTCGAAATTTACCTAAACAATCATTCCAAATAAAGGGTTTATATTACAAAGAAATGTAGATGAAATCTGTGCATACTGGGAAATTAATATATGATTCATAGGTAACATTCTGCCATGTCTGGTTAAAAGAGTAGGCAGACAACTTCTGTAACCGCATTTGTGATCTGGTAACATTAATGCCAGGCAAAAGCCAATGTTGATAAGCCATAGATAAGCAAGGAGGAGGCCCTAAGCATATAGGTTGTCCCAAGCCAGAATATGTAAAATTAAATTTCGACCCACCTGCAAAACTGTTTGCTGTTCAGTTATCCCAAGGAGGAGATAACACGTGTGGGGTGATGTACACTAAGAGAGAGGATGCTGCCCACATCACAGGCTCCAGTAAAGGGGAATTTGGAATGTGTGTGCCCAGTATGAATAACTTATGGATTCTGCAGAAGTTACCCACAGTAAAGCACACATGGTCAGGAAAAGATTCTCGGCTGTAACAGGTTTGTCACACCTCTGCAGAACAGCTTGACCCTTAGCAGTGAGAGACTTAATTTGCCCCCAGGTAGGCACAGGAGCTTTAATATGTCTGCCTACGAGGATGCTTCCTGGCCAGTGATGACTGGGCCATTCCTGCCACTGGCACCTCAAGATTGCCCTTGTTCCCCCTCAGTGCCTTTCTTCTCTTCACAGCCGATTTAATCGGTCCTTCGGGCCTTGATCCAGCGGCCTGGAATCCAGTGCTGGTGCCCATCCTGAGAAGACACAAGACCATTACCCCCTTCCGTCTACCATAGACTGCCCTGGAACCCTTCAGTGTCAACAGTAGTTTTCACCCAAATTTTCCTAAAAGGAGCCGGCTCCAAAGCCTGAAACTTTTCAGACATAAAATGCTCAGCTCTAGTTAGAATGTCTCCCTGTGGAAAATTAAAAAATAATTTAATAAAATAAAGCATGATGCATCATAGCACTAGGATTATTCTGTAAAGCCCAGATGTCTTTCATACCCAAGTCCTGCATTTTCTTTTAAGTTTTCTAATTTGTTGCTTTAAGGTAGTGTGGGATTTTTCTACAATGGCTTGACCTTGGGGGTTTTATTCTATTCCAGTCACATGTTTAATATACACAATATATTTTGTGTATTGTTCACAAAATTGCTGAAATTTTGTAGAGGAGTATGCAGGTCCATTCTCTGTCTTTATTATGGCTGGCATCCCCAATACTGCAAAAGCTTCAAATAAATGGGTGATAACATAGTTAGTTGTCTCCCCAGATAATGGCATAGTCCATATCATGGAGGAGAATGTATCTATGGTCACCTGAACATAAGATAACCGGCCAAATTGTGGTATATGAGTTACGTCCATCTGTCATGATTTGAATCCAACACCCGAGGATTGGTACCAGGGTTATTTTGTCTTAAATGCAGGGAATGACAGATAGGACAATTAAGAATAATCCAGTTAGCTTGTCTGTAAGGAATTTTGTATTGAACATGCAAATGAGGTGCACTGGATTAAGCTCATCCTTAACTGAAGCACAGTTTACAAGAGCATCAGCTACATTATTCCCCTGATTAGATGTCCAGGTAATTTGGTATGTGATCTCATATGCACAATAAATACTACATGATTTTGTTTTTGCAACAGGTTTTGTAATGTTAAGAATAAATCTTGTAAAATAGAGTTATTAACATGAATTAAAGCAGTGTAAATGATCTTTACAACTGCATATTTGGAATCAGCCACTATATGAAGGCCCTCAGTAGGAAAATCCTGCAATGCCTGAATGACTGTCCATAACCCGTTCTGTTGCGCTGGGGAATAAGGAGATAATCGTGACCAAAATTTTGATTTCAGTCCAGTAAGCAGCACGAGTTCTAGAGCCATCAGTAAAGATAGTTCGAGCTTGTGAAATGGGTTGTTCAGCTGTAAGGTCATTAATGACAAAATGCTGTTCTTTAAAAAAAAATTCCTTGCCCCTGTTCAGTCCATCATCTCAAACCTTGAGATGAATTTATTTCAGAGGCTGATATTGAGATTTTAGTAATATTAGTTTAATAGCACCCAGATAGGAATTATTATTTATTGAAGGCATTAATGACCAAAATCCCCGTGATGATTGACAGAGAAATTTTCTTTTTTACATTCCAGGAGGGAACAGAGACAGTGTCTTCATTTCTGTAATTACTTCCTGCTGACCTTAGGATGTTGTTCTCAGGGGCCTGAAAGGCTAGAATGTTAGTCAAAAACAATGAAGGAACTTGAGAGGATCTGATTCTTTGACAAACTGAAAAGACAGCAGTCACATTGGCTGGATGGGTCCACATCAGGATTCAGCAAGTTCAGGACTCAGTCATTTGGAGCAGGTTGTTATCAGCAGCTGATGCTGGGATGTGTTTGTCAGCCACGTGGGAACCTGCTAAAACAGATATAATCTGGGAACAGAAATTAAATTTATGGACTCATTTGAAAGTTGTTTACTCATATTCTCAGTAATTAAGGGGAAAAGTCCCAAGACCAGGAGAGAGAAAAATACTGTAATCATTTTGACTTGTGAGGAGTGGATTTAAGATATAATTTGTTAAATTTTTTGAAGTTTGTATGAATCTCCATTTTATAAAAGGCCATAAAAGTTTCAGATATATTAGCATTATTAGTCTGTGTTGAAATCCATATTGTAGAATTAGGTATCTGTAAAACAATAGAAGTAGACTCGTATCCTTGAGTCCTAATAAAAACTATGATTTGGATTAAACAGCATATAAGCCTATATTCAGAAGATAACCAAAAGAAACAATTTAAAATTTTGAGTTTGTGACCCAAATAGTAAGCAATGCTTTGCTCTATTAACTTGTTAGACTCTGTTAATGTTAAACTTTGAACTTTTGAAATCCTAGTATAATAATATTATGAAAGGGGAAAGAAATCTTGGAAATTTTTATATACATCTAAAGCCATTATTTCTTAAAATTTTATCTATATTTTTAGAATATCTTCTTAGACCCACCCATATAATCTCCAAACGTTTATGCCTTCAAATCCTTACAACCTGTATTGATGTTCCCAGTTTTTTATTTTTGACCCTCAGAATTAATATAGACTCATAACAAGCATTTTGTCCAATGACTAGCCATCGTAGGAGCTGTTAGACTGCAGTTTTCATTTACCGACCATAGATGTGATGTTGAAGTTTTTAAGAACATGTTTGAAGTTTTCTATGTGTGAATAGCTAAGACCTTTAGCTTTGTTATTTTATTTTTGTTTCTTTTTTTTTTTTTTTTGAAAGGTTGCTGGGAATTGAACTTAGGACCTTTGGAAGAGCAGGCAATGATCTTAACCTCTGAGCCATTTCTCCAGCCCCCTAGCTTTGTTATTTTATAGGAGGCCAATCATATAGAACCCTGTAACTCAGAGAGTTGCTTGTACTATGATGATTAATTATTAACGTGTATTTAGGACCTCAGCCTTCCTTTTACCTTTAAAGAACATGATCGCATAATTAACATAATTGTTCTTCAATGAAGAATCACCAGCCTTATTAATGGAGAAATTAATCAGAATTAGCACAACATAATTAAATATTTAGAATGTTTATAGTTTTTCTTCAAACACATTATTGTCCATAAACGAGTTACATATACACACACACACATATATATACACACACACATATATACATACATATACATATATGTGTAGTTTTTAGTCTCTTGTTTGTCCTCTTGTCCTTTAGACAACATGTAAATCTCCATGAATGTCTCTTCTTGTGAGTTTATCCAGCATTCCAGAACATTGCATAGATACATTTCAAACAATAGCCAAAATATATAATACACATGTATCACAATAAGAATAAATTTGCATATAAAAAACCTGTACCCATGTGAAACTTAAGAAACTAGCAGCAGTTTTCTTTTTCTTAATCAATAATAATTTATACCCAATTTCCTTTAAAGATGATAAATATTTGTAACCCATTGGATCTAAGTGATTAAAACTCCTTTTTTTTCTTTTCCTGTGAAAACAAAAGCTTAATTTTCCCCAAACATAATGCATCTTTAACTATTACTTTAAGTCAACGCTTTCCAAAAGATACAGGTTGGTATAACTCAATATTTTTTTTAAAGCTGTATCAGACAGAAGGGTTAAAATGAGAAACTGCTGGCCAGCAGAAGAGTGTTATCTCAGTGAAGAAGAACTTGACTTAAGAAAGAAAAAGAGGGAGAGAAACGCTCTTGGGCACAGTGTCCTTGACTGCCAGCATTCCTGAAAAAAAAATTTTTGTTAACTCCTCTGGCAACCATCAAAGATTCTCTGTTACACATCCGTGCAGTTTTTCAACTGCAAGCAGTCAATTCTCGGCCGCCCCACACATGTCTCCCTCAGACATGTCTCCCTATAGTGTCTCTGCCCACCTTAGCATGCGCCAGCACCCCTTGCCCTCTGCAGGAGCTGCTGGCTGGCTGTGGGCCAGAGATCAATGAAGGGAGTGTCATGCCTCTCCTTAGAGAAGTTTCTCCTTTGGGACCTGGAACTGATCCAATAAAAATGAACGGGAGTCTAGAGGTCGAGGCAGCCTGCCTCCTCCCTTCCAGGATAACAAAGATCAATAGACAACAGTGGACAGTAATGACAGACAGACAGGTACCGGTACCACTTAAAATTTTCAAAGACAAACACATAAAGCAGCAACATAGTCACAGTTAAAACACAGACCAAGCATGCTCATACATCCACAAATACCTTTTTTTTTTTTAAGTTTTTTTTTTTTAAACTTTATTTAACAAGCATTGGTATTGGTATAATGATGTCAGATTCTCTTGAATCTGGAGCTACAGACAGTTGTGAGCTGCCATGTGGGTGCTGGGAATTGAACCCGGGTCCTCTGGAGGAGCAGTCAGTGCTCTTAACCACTGAGCCATCTCACCAGCCCCCCACAAATACCTTTTTAAATCTCTAGATTCCTACTTCTTTCTGCAGGGAACCAGGGGCACACATCCTTTATTCATTTCAAAAACTAAAGCAGCTGCTGTTGTCCTTCCTTAGTACCCCTAACCTTTAAAGTATCTATAAGTAAATGTCCAAACAACTGTGTGTTGTTTTCTTGGCCCATATTTACATTTTTAGCACTCCTCTACAAGTTACTTCTTAAGTTACTTTTTATTTTACAATTATACTTGAGTTACTTTTTACTTGTTTTTCATGCTGCGCAGCTAACCTCTTATATTTACACCACTGACTGCTGATGCTCCCGGGATATACTTACCGCACCTCCTGTCCTTATAGCAGAAGATTGACCAATAGGCAAATAAGGTAAAGGCAGTAATTGAGCAACATGCTCTCTCTCTGTCTGTCTGTCTCTGTCTCTCTTTGAGAGTCTAATCTTGATCAGGAATCCAATGATTCTGCATATCCCCTGACTGCAGCTGCCTTAAACGATTGCCTCCGCAGGGGAGGAGCTGACAGTTTTACTTTCACTTTATCCTTGGCGATAGTTAACAATTCTTCCAGCTGCTTTTTTAACTCATTTGTCCTCTCCTTAGTAACTTCATTATCCTTCTGAGTAACCTTAACTGGCTTTTCAACTAACTGGAAATTATCTTTTTCAATCTCAGTTTGCATCTCTTCACTAACCTGTAACTTTTTCACCAGAGCACAAACCTCAGATGCTAAGTCTTTTGCTGGCTCAGTCTGCACAGCTTTCAAAACTACGTGAACAAGGGACCATACAGACCAAAAGCACACCGGTATTTTTTCACCTTGCTTCACAGCCTTCTCAACGTTCATCCAAACCCGATCCCAATTTTCCATATCCATTAAATTCTCACCTGAGGGAAACCAAGGATTATATTCTTAGATAATTTCAAGACACATGTTTAAGTCTGACAGATATAGAGCACCATGAGTTTTCAGCAAATGCTTATGCATAGACAGAAATGGAGAAGAGCTTGTCCCATTACCCTGTTATTACTTACATTATTATCTGGCACTCCTAACATTCTTCAGGGTCCCCCTGTTCAGGTGCCAATTGTTGGGGACTCTTCCCCAGCTTCCTCAGTTATAGATGACCCTGGGTAGTGCTGCAGACATCAGGACACAGGGGATGCAGAGTAGGAGCTGCATACTTTATTGCAAAGCCAATGCTCTTTTATAATACTCAAATCACAGTTCAAAGTGGGTTCCCATAATACTTGAGAAGAGTTACATAAATTAATAACTTTGTTGCAAATAATTTCAAGAGCTTCCTGCCCTAGTTAATCTAAACAGAAAGCCTGGTGTTACGGGAATAACTTTTACTGTAACATGATATGTAAAAACACCTCATCAGAAGACAAACCACAACCTCATCAGAGCCTTTGAACTACAGTGCACATCTGTGTTCTCAGTGACTGACTGTTGTGTCGGCAAGAATGATGCCTCAGGTCACCCCTGCACAGAGTTTCCGTGCTGTTCAAAGCTAGCCATCCACAAATCCCAGCACTCAGGAGGCAGAGGCAGGCAGATCTCTGTGAGTTTGAGTCTAGCCTGGTCTACAAGAGCTAGTTCCAGAACAGGCTCCAAAGCTACAGAGGAAAAAAAAAAGACCACCAGCTTATTAGGCGTGGTGGTGCATGTCTTTAGTCCCAGCACTCTAGGGAGTTATTCCAGCACTTGAATAGGTTTTCTTTCAGTTTGAGGCAGACTCAGCTACAGAATGAAACCGTCTCTCACACCATCTCTCAGAAGAAAAAGTCTAGTTTCCAGGACTAGAGAGATGGCTCAGCAATTAGGGGAGTTGTTGCTCTTCCAGAGATCTGAGTTTAGTTCCCAGCTTCCATACTGGACAGCTTTGCAAGCTCCTGCAACTCTTAATTGCTTGGGATTTCACACCTTCCTCTGAACTGAGGGTATCTGGACACATTGCATAGATACAAGTATCTTTTTAAAAGGTCTTCACATTTCTAGGGGATAAATACTAAGATAATAGCCTGGGCTGTAATACTGCCACAGTGGTTACAGCACTGAAACTGCATAGCCTGGTACACATGTGGTCCGTCAACTGAGATGTCGTCTAGTCTGTGACATTAAGTTATCTGACTGAGTGGCCCATGCTTCTGAATGAAATTTGTATTGTAGTTGGATTTATTAAATTTTTTTTCTTTGTGTGTGTTAGATAACAGAGTAGCCATAATATGTAATGATTTGCTCTTATTGATGGTAATCCCAATTTAGGTCAAATTCTTGCCTGTCTTGTGTGGATTGTTAGGGCACTGAAACCTCTTAGAACCAGGAGAGTAAGACTTGGAGAGACAGCCACAGATTGTTCTTTTCCTGTTGACAGGTCTCTATGTTCTCTCCTTCATCCCAGGTATAAGAATGGGCTATCTCCAAGTTGGCTTTTCAGTAGCCTATGTTTTAACTGGTCAGTTCTTACCCCTTTTTCCTGGACTATTGTGAAACCATGTCGTTTGTGTTCTATCATTGAACTGCTCCATTCTCAGCACTGGGTCTAAGAACACCTTGAGGTACTGAAACCAGAATATGGTTATATTTGTATTTTGTGTATAAGTTCTGCACATCCTCCTGTGTACTTCTTGTCATTTCTAAATTTTTTAAAATCCTAATACAAAGTAAGTGCAGTGTAGACTGTTGTGCTGTAGTGTTCAGGGACTAGAAACCTGAGTCAGTACCAACACATTTTCTCTTGCTTTTAATCTTTAGTTGAATTTGTAATTTGTATATGATTGTATTTTGTTGTTTGATTATGACCAAGTTAATGCAGAGGCATGATCCAGCCACATTAACCTTGTGCTGCTGCCAGTGGAAACTGCTTACTCTGTTAATGTGTTAAATAAGGTGATGTAGCTAAAGTACTCAGTATAATTCTCTCTTGTTCCTTTGTACGATTGCTTTTCTTGACAGGATCTTAACACACAGACAAAGCTGATCTCAGCTACGACCCTCCACAGCCTCTGTCCACTATAGTTGTTAGTACATATACAATTCTGAAAGGTTAACTTTTTTTTTATTATAGATGAGTTAAGTTATAATGTAACATTCAGGAAAATTGATTATACAAAACTATCAGAGGAAGCTTATATTTATACTGACTTTCTTTTGTGGTTAAGGACATAGAAGGCCAGAGATACTATAGATTGACTTAGTCATAATACTGTAGGAATTTCTGAAAAGTAACATTACCTTGAATTGTTGGCATTTTTTCTGGTGCTTTTATTGCAAATTAGAGTGTTAATAGAAATACTGGCTTTCATTTTAACTGTATCAGTGAACTGTTTGTACAAACTTCACTTTTTGTAATGTGTATGCTTGTTAGGGAGCAGAGGCTGGCAAGTCAGAAAATTGTAGTATGTGCAGGAAAAGCTTGGTGTTCTGGGGTAGGAGTTAAGGGAGCATGTGCAAGGGCCACTGAATGCCACTGTTAGGAATTCCAGATTTGTGCTGGGGGCCTGTGATGGCCCACAGAGCCTGTCTACCTTGACTGGAGATCAGAGAGTTTGAGCTTACTTTTACTCTTTCAAAATTGTTGACAACAGGTGTGGCTACAAACAAGAAACCCTGACCTAGAGTTTGGTTGGTGGTGTTTTGGACAGTAAGGTGGCCCATAGAAGTGGAACCGCTCCACCCTGACCAAACGTCCGAGAATTCAAGCCTATTTCTGCTCCTTCATGTTAAAATGGTAGGTTTGGCAAATGGAATGACTGCCTACAGGATACTTGGTCTAGGGTATATTCGCAGCTTATCCTGCCAAAACATCAAACTCAGAAGATAATGGCTCCATGTCTCAAGTATTAAAGCAGGTAACTGTCCTGGTTGTCCTTTGTGTCATGTTAAAGCAGCCTTTGCATCCCCTGCCCTTTGTATTGGTGTAAAAAAATGAAAAATTAAACATTGGCGGAGTCAGTATTGAGTGTACACTCAGCTGCCTCCTGGTGCTATCCTGTGTCTCTATATTTCTTCCAAATCTCTTCCTCCTACCTAACGTTTCTAGTCCGCATGCCCCTGTCCTGGAATGTACGAACCTGTCATGGTTGGACTGCCACAGAAGTCAGTCCCAATATGTGGCTTTCGACAGGGACCCAGATCAGGAGTAAAAACAAAATCCCTGACAGTTTGAACACCTGTGATGTGTTATACTGTCAATATTCTTGGTGGCTCAGGACTCAAAGCTCCTTGGCCTCCTGAGTCCGTTGAACAAAAAGACAAAGGACCTCAGATGTGAGTCTCTCTCCACTTTTCTTTCTTCCTGTCTCTCAATCCCTCTTCCATGAAGCCAGCCACAGAACTTGGAAATACCATAGTCCTACCCTCTACTTCTTTGTAAGAACAGGCCATAAGGAGTTGCTCTGACCTATTTATTAGGACAGTGGATTATCAGCCTTCACACAGGGTTTCCTGTCCCAAACCCAAGAGGAAATAATGCCACAGGAGGCTAAGTAGAAGTTAGCTGGACAGGCTTTGCTGAATTTTTCCATACGTCCATTAGATACTACCTCTTTAATTTCATTATTTTAAAAATGAAGTTAGTTTACTCATGTATTTCAGTGTTTTGTTCACATGTATGTCTGTGCACCACGTGTGTGCCTGGTGCTCTCAGAGGCTAGAAGAGTGCATCAGATCTCTTGGGACTGGAGGTTCAGATGGTTGTGAGCTGGGGTCTCTGGACGAGCATCTAGTGCTCATAACTGCTGAACAGTCTCCATTCCTCTAGTCACATATCTAAAGAGCTGTTCATTCTTCTAATCTAAGCATGAAAATGGATACTTTCTCCGAATCTTCATTTTTCTTTTTTTAAAAATGTTTTTTCCTTGGTGTTCAGAGATTTCTGATAATATTCACTCAGCAAATATTGATGTCTGCTGGACAGTGTCTCATGCATAGTTTGGACTCCCCAAGTTAATGTGCCCATATTACGACCCCCAGGGAGACCACCGTAAACTAGAGAAGTCTAGACTGCAATAGCAAGGTTTATTGTTAGCGTAGCTTGGAACAACACTCAGGGAGGAGGAGTTCCAGTCCCTCTGTGGGGTTAGCTTTTTAAAGGCAAAACGCATAAGCCCTTCAGGGCAGTTGGGGGTTTAGCACAGGTGGGAGGTCTTTGCTCTTTCTCATCCTGTTTTGTCAGCTTGTTTTATCTTTAGAGCAAGGTCACTTTAGAGGGGGCCACTATCGTTTCTGGGAACATGAAGCTAGTCTGAGGTTTTTTGATTTTTAAAACACTCTGCTAGGAAATTCCTTCTCATTCCTTTGAGAATAAGGGATGAGGGTCTACAGTTAGAACTTTTATGCCTTTTGCGTGACTGTTAGTAATACCTTCCTAGTTTTCTTCCTGTTGCCGTGATAATGTTGTGGCATTCAGATCCACTGGGAAGACCAAATACTTAGACTTTAATCCAAATTTAGATTAAAGGAATTTATTCTTTCTAGACTCAATCCAATTTAGACTAAATGACTTTAGTCTTACTGCTGGTAGAAGGAACAACCCTGTAACAATATATTTCCCTGACCTGACCCTAATCTGACCCCATCTCTTATCTGAAATATATTTCCCTGACCTGACCCTAACCTGACCCCATCGTTTTATCTGAAATAACCACTGAGAATGCATCCGCTTCTGTAAACACGCTTCTTGCTATATAACCAGCCCCGAAATTCAGCCCGGCACGCGCAGTCACCCGAAGGCTGTTGCATCCCAGGCGCCTGTGTGAATAAACTACCTCTTGCTTTTGCATCCAGTGTGGACTAGTCTTGGTTCTTGGGCATCGTGGTCCCTGAAAGGAAAACACCCTAGCCGGGAGTCCTACATTAACTTCCTATGCTCTCCCCTTCTTGTAAGCATCTTCTCACATTTTTTCGTAGGAAATACTAACAGTAGTAATACCATATAAGATCCAGTCTCCACGGAAAACTAAATGGTA